TTTTTTTTGTGCCGAGAGGTTGTAAAATCGCTCTCCACTTAATTGTAACTGTTAAGAAAGTGACATTGTAAAATCTGACTAATTGGTTAATTAATTAAAATTTGTTGTGATTAGTGCCTCTTATTTTCATTTTTTTTATGGGATTTTGCTTCATCTTGTTGGGGGTATTTATGACAAATGGAATGGACAAAAATACCTTACAAATAGTAGCCAGCACTACAGTAAATGAAATTAAGTCCACATAAAGAAATACGGAATAATAAAATGACTGAGAAATGAAAAAAAAAACATATCACTCAATATTGCATGTGTCTTTATTAATCTCACGAATAAAATACGACTAGAGTTGAATAAACCATTGGTATAACTCTATTGGCGAACCGGAGTTAAGTGTAACTAAATCGAGGAGAGACTTAAGAGTAGCCGTTGAGTCAAGAAGAGACATAGGTTGAAAACAAGAAAAGCTCTCCTCATTTCGTCCTTGTAACGTATAACTTGCAAGTCGTTTTAGCCAACAGAAGTCCATATGTTCGATTATTATAGTACTCTGCATTGTTTTTTGAAATTCCCAGTCGTTTAACCTAGCGAAATTTGCAAATCCATACAGTTAATATTTTCACTTATCTGTTTTGGGAAAACAAAAACCTCAGGTCGCAAGACAAATTCAAACACCACTAAATTATCACACTAAATGTTCCCAGTACGAGTACAACAATGGTATCAAAATTTTCAAAAGCTCAAATGCAGGGAAGAGGAAAAAGTAGGGCAACCATTTTTTTCATGTGTAAGTTAGTAAAGTTTCTCACGGGCTACGAGTAAAGCACATGTTCCTGAGAATCGCACAATCTGCACGCAACGGGAGTTTTACACCCCAAAAATCACCGCTTCATACTTTTAGCCTTAGATTTTGTCAATGCCTCAATAAGCCTGTACATCCATCTATCCAGCATCCCTGTCCATATATACCAACCAAAAAGCATTTCAATTTTGTTTTCAAGTTTGCAGTCTTCTAGGTCATGTAATTCAATCAACAAATGCCAACCAAAACAAATCTGAGATAGAATCTCATTTCCTTCCAGCAATTATATACTGAAAGAACAAAAACAGACAAATTCACGTCAATTTCTATGGTAAAGCAAATTATTGGTACCGTTGGCAAACTCTTAAAACAAGGGTAAAGAAAAAATAAATGACCAAAATTTTCTCGTTCTCAATTTTTAGGTGGGGGCAAAAAAGGATCGATGTTTGTTTTGTGGATGTGTACAGCCGAAACTAAATGAACTCATTCACTGTGGAAGGCAATCGAAAGGAAATAGATTAAACGAACCTGTTAAGGCAAATGTACCACCCAATACTGCACAGAGGCGTGTGATGAAATGGAGAAAACTACGACGTTCCTCTCTAATGGTAACTGTAATAGGTGACAAATCATACAGAAAGTACACAGCTGCATGGAAAATGAAAAAGTTATTTCCTAAAGAAAAAATATTGGTGGAAAGGGTTATAAAACCTTCATCGGGTTAGGATTAATATAATCTTACCAGGCCACGCCCTATCCATCTCATTGATAGGAGAGAAATACTCAGTGACAGAGAATTGATTTGTTGGTAAAACATCCTTCGATATATATTTGTATTCAGTCGGCACAATCTAGAGAACAGTTAAACAGGAATTTCAAATGACAGCACTGGTTAATATCACAGACCATAAATATATATCATCAGAAAAAGAAAATGTAATTGGAGAGAGAGAGAGAGAGAGAGAGAGATGATGCAGTACAGTATGGTATAAGCTTCAGAGATTCAAAATGATTCAAAGAACTTGAACCTTGATGTAATACTTGAAAGTTCCACTCGATCCATGCAATATCCGTATTGTGTCATCAAGTGGGTTATGTATCCCAGGATATTTAGGCCCAAACGACAAATCGTGAATTACATGACTCACATTGACATGAGAAGAGCCCTCAAAAATCTGCAGATGACAAAATGGTAAAATAACATATAAAAAGTACTAGGTCAAAAGTTACATGAGAAGTTATACATTCAATCTGAATACTCTGAGAAGAAGCATTATCAAAACTCCTAGTGCGCCCACTGGTTTCACCTCTATAACAAGTTCTAATGTTTTCCAAAATAATTCTTAAGTAGACGTGTTGAGGAGACCAAAATACAGTTTTCGTTTCTCAAATCTTCCAAAGAATTTCTGAAACTGGAATTACAGTTTTACAGCTCAAATTTCAGCAAAAATAATTTCACTATTTTGCCAACCTACGTGTTGGTGTTGTGAAGTATCTTTCATAAGATAAATTGAGCTACAGAGGTTTGCCAATGTTTTCCAAATTTTCTTGATTTCATGGTGGTAAAAACCAACTAAACCAAAGATCTCGGAACTTTCTGAACTCAAAATTCGAGATGGAACACTTTTTGAATTTTGTGAAAGATTAAAAATGAAAATAGAAATTGAAAAGAAAATGGAGAGTAATTCAACACACAAAAAAATTATCCGAACTCACAGCACTCTTGTAGGATCACTTTAATACTTATGCTGCAGAAAACCAGTTATCAATGGTGGATGGCGGGTCATGGCGGAAAGCCAAAAAATCACCATACCTCTAAGGTGGATGGTGTGGCGGAAAATGAAGTCACACCAGACCCAAAAATATATATTTTTATACATATCTACATATAAATGTATATATATACACACATACACGCATATACATATATGTAGAACACCATAACACCTTATAACAAGTCAACAAAAAAAAATAAGCACTAGGTATGAAATTTGTATATTTCGTTACATGCATGGCAGAATCCACCCAATGTCATTTTTATTACCAGACTTTTGTTCTTTTCTATTTATTTTATGTTATGAAATTTGGATAAATAAAGTGACCTCGGGCCACCCCTTCTTTGGGTCAGCCCGAGAAAAGCATAAAATGCCTACTATTCACGCTATGGCTGCCATGACAGCCACACCGCTATGGTCTTGGCGGCCGCAATGGCGCCACCTCGGCAAACCCACAACAAGGCGGCCCATAAATGGCAGATTGGTCAAAAAACCGCTACACCATGCCGACATGGTGACAATTTGACAACACTGCAGAAAATAAACTACACCACAAAAAAGAGAGGCAGAGCAAAGAAATTCTTGGTACAAGTAAAGTGATAAAGACAAGAAGGGAAGACAACGTTTTTTAACGCGGAATATGAGAATTTCATGCTACTGAAGGTGACCCAGAGTAGATTCATAATTCTGCACAAACAACATGATCTGCGTGATGAATACATCCAAATCAAATACAAGAAACAAGGGAGGAAAAGTATAAGCCAACACTCTTCATTTGCACATTGAATCTTTTTTTCTTCAGAAATCTAACGTCAATGAGCGCTTATAAATGCCATAAAATATCATTAGACTTCACAATAAAATTGATTTATTTAGGAAAATGTATGAAGAAAATGTTTGAGTAAGTTCGAAGTTGTTGATCAGAAAATATTATGTTTTTATAAAGTAATATAGGATAAATAATGAAGTTTTGAGTTAATTAGATATCTGACCATTTGAGCCACAAAAATATTCAATCCATGAACCGAGATATGAAAGTTCCCAGCAACCCTTTGCACATCTAAAAGACCATACACCTGCAACAACAATTAAATGAAACATCAAAGAGCAGGAAAGCAGCTTGTATCAACATGAATGTATGTCAACGTGGAGGGAGACATGAATTTGCGCAGCCGTAAAATCGATCAGTCTATGAGGAAATCTAGAAGCAATCCCTATATGTTGGAGAAAGAATGGATGCCACCACAAATGTTGTTGGTCGTGAGTACACCGTCCAGAAAACCGATATTAGTACAAGTGGCTCTTGTACAAGTCAATCCATAAATATGGAGGAAAATTTGGAGGCTTTTAAGCCTCACAACCTATCTTTGGTGATATGGACAACAACAACAACAACAACATACCCAGTATATTCCCAACTGGTTGGGGTCTGGGGGGTCAGTTGTACGCAGACCTTACCCTTGTAATTATACAAGGAGGCTGTTTTCATAGCGACCCAAGGTGCATTGCGTCGTTTGATTTTTTTTCTAGAAACTTCACTAATATAAGAAGCACTAGAATTTAATTGAGCCATTTTGATCTAGTCCATTATTAGCACTATGTCAGGAGAATTGTCAACAATGACTCTTCTAGCTCCTTTTGCAATGGACAAAATCTTTGGTGATATGGACACGCCACTGAAATCTAAATCTCTTCTTTTACCAGTAATTGATATTGTGCATATTTTGATATTATGTTGAAATTTTAATTCTTCCAATATCTACATACAAAATGACCCAGTTAAGCTGGATTCAGCGGCAGCAACCAGCTTCATTATTTAATCTGATTATTTATGGTTGGCTCGAAAAAGAATTTGAAGGATGATGAAAATCATATAAAAGAGGGTGAAACGAGTGAACAAAGACATTTATTTAGATTGGGCTTGTTGTTATGTTTCCATTTTGCTAGGAACTAGGAAGCACTATGTAGTCCTTCATAATACGAATAACATTTGGCTTATATACTTTCCATATGTAATACCATTGATTTGAGACTTGTTGGATGACAAATTCATAAGCAACGCTTCTACGAAGATGTCTCAATTTTTCAAGTTTGAGAGTGGTTTATGCAAAAATGATAAGGATTCCAATATCGACTGTTGTTGACTGATTACTACATTACAAAAGTTGAAAAATGTTCCATTGTCAAAAAGAAGCTTTAAGGTAAAGACAAAAGACTACATTTACCAAGTATTATGAATGCTCATTACATTTCTTTCACGTCTTTCAGCCATAGATGTGTTGGAACAATATTCTTAGGATACTCATTCGACAGATTGGTGACAGTATTTTAATGTTGGTGACTTTGACCACGTTCCCCAGTTGCTGGCGGGTCTGTAAGGGCTAAATTCCTTCGAAGTAAAAGGATTCAACATTATGCTAATTGTGGTTTATGAGAATGGAAAAACAAGTCAGACTACCTGCTTTTTGTGTGTGTGTGTATGTGCGTGTTCTATAAGGCTACTCATTTTCTGTGGTTATTAGCATATATTCTTAGGTTGTAGGTTGTGTCTAATTCTAAACGCTGAAAAGAAAATCAGTAGTCCTTGTCCAAAAAATGCAAAAGCCAAAAAAAGAAAAAAAAAAATGATAGTCTAACTTGTTTTCCATTCCCATAAACTGAAAAGCAACATTACAGTATCCCCAAATAAATAGGTGAAGACAAGCCCTTGACCCGCACAACAGCCCAATAATTCAATATTTGACTGATGGGTTCAGATATAGTATTATAAATCTTAAGGGGTGATTGGATATAAATTCCACAGTAAAAAAATCAATCAAAACTCAACTTTAACCTCACTATCCTTTATATTATCAGTATAATCAAATAATATAGTTAATCATTCTTACCCATCACATCAACTTTAATTTACTACTCATCCACTCACATAATTTTAACTAACCATAACTTTCAATCAATTTTCTCCTACTTTTACATAAAATCAACTCTAGTTATATTATTCTAAATATTATTTTAATATACCCACTAACAACTAACCATACCACATTTTTAAATATTAACTATGGTTAAAAAAAACAAATAAAAAACCAATCAAATTCATATCTAATCACACCCTTACCAACTTCATAATTTGTTGGATGTATACAAATTCACGAATCAGTTTAAATGATTAGCAAACCTTTCATGAATCTACAAGAATAATACTTCAATTAATAATTTTTGTTTTCCACATCTTAAGGTACATGATAATACACTAGCTTGGATAAAAACAAAGAAAGAAAGCTAGAAAGAAATACGTCCATACCCGGCAACCTTCTTCATTAGCCAATGCATGCTTCACCTTCTTTATCATATTTTCAGCTTCTTCATCAAGATTGTGGAGTTTAACTTTGTCATCAGACTCCTCATGATCTTTGTGGTCATGATCTTTGTGGTCATCTGAGCACAATTTGAACAAAATTCTGTTACAAGAATATTTTATTCCTACCAAAATGCTTTACAGAATTTGCCAAAATATAAGATCATAGTTAATCGTGTCTACAACCTGCAACAAAGACATGACCTACTATCTATGGCGGCTAACTCACAAGCATCTTAAAAAAGAATATAAACATCTAAGGTAAACTAAATAACAATATCGAATATGAGATCAATGCAATTGACTTTGGTAAACCACATAACATCGAATACTAGAGAGATCAGGATCAGTACACAACTGACTTTTTCAATGACATGCTATATATTTGCATTGTAATTTGTAAATAAAAAGATAAAACTACAAAGATCATTTCACATGAAGTCTCAAATGAGCTAACCGTGTCCATGAGCAGCATGGTCCTTCTCCACCAGGTCGGACAGATACTCCGTGCCAGTGATATGGCCATCCTTATTCAAGCGGAGCTGAAGAAAAAATTTCATTATCATAATAACTACCACACAAGTCAAAAATCACATGACACACTGACACGCGTGCACACACACACACAAACACACACACACACACACAGAGCTTTTAATCTATTGCTTACAAAAATAACACTGGCCTCATGTATTGTCAATGTCAACCATTTTGTTTGCATATACTAGGAAACTACAAGGAAGTCGGCCTGAAATAAGATAGATAAGTGAAAACAAATAAAACCTACCTTCCATATATTTGTGTCGAGATCAACTTCATGCTTCCCTGACATATCAATCGCATCCACGCTTAAAACTGCAAAAGCACAAGAAAAAAAAAAAAACATGTCAAAATTGAAATTAATTCTGAAAAGAGTTTCAGAACTACGAATGAGATGATATTACTGAAGGAGAGGCCAAAAAAAATCTCAAAAGGTCCAACCATCACAAGGAAGAGAGGGGAATGTCATATTAATATGGATGGGAAGTGTTTCTCCACGTTTTGAATCAACCGCCATCTGCCACGGATTACAAAGTCCAATTAAGAACCACCAAAGAGGTACTCGGTTAAACTAGAAAAAAGATACATGTCCTAAAAAAAAGGTAAGAAGAATAAACTACTGAAAGGAATTTTAACAAGGAAAACTAACCTCGTGTACAGTGTATGTTGAAAGATAATAAGATAACTCATGCAAGAACAAGGTCGCCATGATTACCAGGCCAACAATAGAAACTAGTAAGAAGCATGAAAAATTCTAAAATTAGTTGGTACCATACATCCTTATGCTCTCAAGCAGTTCAGTTAACTAAGATCACAGCACACCACTTATGTCTTGATTGCATAACATACATTGTTATATCCACAACAATCAAGTTAGGCCCAAAGAGCTTCACCGGGGAAGGAAAATGAAGAGTAAACCTAACCAACTATCAGAGCTCAAGTTATTAGCTAAATTGCAAATTCCTTTATCTCATTCATAACATACAAGTTGAGATGTTCTTCAACCACTTGATCACCACACAACTAAATTAATAACGACCCCCAAATATTTTTTTTTTTTAAAAAAGAGAGACTTTAAGCATTCTTTTGGAAAATAACACATATAAGAATAAAACAACATCTAAATGAGCAATTTCACATACATAATAACCAACTATATGGCTCAGAGCATCAGGGATCATGATAAATGGTAAAAGAAATTTCAGAAGAAAACTCGTACATAAAAAATCGAGCCCAGAAATATTTTATGCCCCACTAACCAGAAGAGCTCTCAGGTATACTCACTACAACCAAAAATCTTTACACTTTCTTTTTCAAAAGGAAAAGAAACATGCTTAAAAAAACTACAAGAATGCCCTGTTGATTTTGTGAATGATATCATAACGGCTTCCTCAAGTCAAAGGCCTCAACTTAGGTTGCACACACAACTCTGCAGCTAATATTGGCATTCTGAATTCTGAACTAGATAGCTACCTCAGCTTTCACATACGAAAATACGAAACAAACAGAGCCTAGAAGCTGATTGAAAAACAATAGTAGATCGATGAAATATCAAAGCAATGAACACGAAGATACCGAGTGCGCCGGATTTTGTTTTCTGTAACAAATGCTCTTCTGCCCGTGGAAATGCATCGAGACTTTTCAGTGCTTGCTTCAAATTACCCATCTCTAATCTTCCTTTCCTCCAGCTCCTATCGTTAACCCTAGTTTCCCACACAAAATCAAATCAAATCACAGAATAACCCGTCTACTGATGAAGAAAAATTGGGGAAAAATGATATCAGCAAATAGAAACGTGTTTGTTATAATTTCAGGATCGGAGACGGGGAATTATCATCGAATTCAACTCAGGAGCCGTATAAAAAAAGAATAAGAGAACTCATCACCACCTGACAGGGAGAGATTCAAGGAGAGGGAATAAAATGGAGTGAAATTTCTAAAGGTGTATTGATTTTAAATTTTAAAAGATTTTTTAAGATTTCTAAAATCATAATGATGGACATACATCTATTTTATACATCTATATGTGTATACTAGATTTGTTCACGCCGTGCACGGCGATCTAACACCCAGTGTAAAACTACCGTAAAAATTTGTAATAAGTTGTTGCAGCTTCGTAGGTTACAGTTGTTCACATACATTGTGTTTTTTTATTTTTATGGAAATGTTTTTCTGAAAGCCAGTATATGCGCATGCATCCCTAAACTGAAATCGTGGTCAAAGCTATATGCTTACGATTTTGTCTATTGATTCATAAACATAATACTCATGATTTTTTTTTTATCCATCTCACAATGGTCAAGTTTGATATGTGGATTGTCTTCTGGTCAGCTAAAAATGGTCAGCTCAGATGCGTTGGTACCGGAGAACGAGGGATCGCCGGAGAATTCAAGCGATTCTAGTTGGGAGAACGCGAGTGCTTTAGAGAACGTTTCGGTGGTACGGTTAAATTCCAAACTGAACTTTTTAGGGCAAACTTTTTTCCGACTTGCCAGATTTAGGGTTTTGTGCTCCCTTAATGAGTGCTCGAGCACCGCTGCGTGCTCCTTGGACAGGCGGAGCTTCTTTATCCCGGCGGCCCCATTGTCGGTGCTGTTGGAGATCTTCAGAGAGTTAGACGTCATCTAGCTGTTGTTCTCCTCCCGCTCGATTTTCTTCTCGCTCAGAATCGACAAAGTGTGGTTCGACTACGCCGTGACACCCTGATCGCCTCCTTCTAACGGCGCACCTACAGTGAGCCCAGGCTGCTCGTCAGCGTCAGGTGTGGTGGGTAGCACCCTGCCTTATGAAGGAGTTACACACCTTCAATGGCCGACATGTGTCCAATTTAATGCTATTAAGAGATTGACACGTGTCCCATTTTATTTACGTTTTTCCCATTTCTTTCTGAACTGATTAAGTTACCCTTCATAGACTATACTTTTAGGGGCTATTTTTGTCAATTAGATGTGCCAGTTTTTTTCCTTTTTCATTCATGACTGACGCCCGCCACATGGCATCTTGTACCCTTTGCCCTTGCTAGTCCCTTGATGCAATAAAATAGATCCAAAACTACTTCTATACTTCTATTACAACCAAAGGTGGTACCTTTTTTACAATTTTCCGTCAGAACCAAACTTTTGGAATTCGGGATGCGCTAACAAAAATCGGTGAAAAAGACATAACAGAAAGCGAACAAAAGACAACCATGAAAAAAATAAAATAAAATCACAAGTCTAAATATCATACGACTGTTATACAAAAAAAAAATACTGGCAAATACTTATATGAATATATTTTATATATTTGTTAAAACATAAGTCATGACAGATATTTGTAATGAATACAATATATAGAACTAAAAATTCAACGCGGACCGCGAAAAGTAAAAAAAAAATAACGAAACATGATAGAGCATTGATTAATGCCCATGTATTTCCCAAATAAAATATCCAGCTAATGTTTTTTTTTTTTCAAATAAAATGTGTTATTCATTTGAAGCTATAAATATGTTTTTAAACCATGTAATTTTAAATTTGAGCCTCTCACTGTCTTAACATGTTCCTATATGTAACATTTTTTAGTAAGTTTTGTATTAAACAAGTTGCACATCAATATCCTTTTTCAACAAGTATGCATTATTTCATATTCGTGTGCACACATCTTATTTTTAATCTATTTAGCTTCATTTTGATTTTGTTTTCAATCTCCAATGTTGGCCCTATCAGTTATAGATGAAGAGAAATAAAGTGCAAACATGTGGTAGAAGACATATACAACAAAACTTATATTGCCATAACCTTATAAGTCTGCAAAGAACAACCAAAAATCTTAAAATAAAGGGAAACTTGGTAGCACAGACGTATTGATCATGTCAAGCAAACCACTTCTTAAGATAACCTGAAGAGTAATAGACATTTTTCATTTTGTTAAATGGTTCCTTTTTGCCCAATTATAATAATAGAAGAGCCAAGTTTCTCTACAAAGCACTGCCAACAAAGAATCTTGCCTTATTATCTCAACAAAATAATCAAGGTGTTCACGGTAATGTGAATCTACAAAAGAAGTTATCATTTCAAAATAACTCAAGCGACCAAATTCCTCGATGACGAAAATATGTTAGCCAAGGATTTAGGAACAGAAGAAACATTTCTGCCAAGTGCTTCAGAGAAAATTCTTTGTGAAAGAAAGGGTTATTATAAGATAACTTCTTTCCCAAAATATCTACAAAAATTTAAGGACCATGGGGAGTGTATGACCCAGTTCGAAAATGAACATACTGGAGCTTGGGTAGGTACAACACAGCAGTTAAAGATGGTTTCATACTTAGAGCAGTGGAGGCACTGACACCCTACCAAAAACACAACAAATAAATAACAATAGAAGAAGTCAGTAGAATATTAATTCCAATGTTTTCCCCCAGACAAAAAATAAGCGCTTTAATGCATGGACCGCAAGACCCTACTTCTAACAAGTTGCGGAATATTTGCGGACAATAGGCCAGGAGATTCGAAATCAAAACATTTCAAATTATCATGATATATTATTTTCTAAGAAAATACGTAATTATAACACATAAACTCCCGATTAAGTGTCTTTTTATATTGGAAGTTTTTATTTCTAATTATGTATCGTTTCAGACTATTCTTTCACTTATGTTGTATAAATAAAAAATCTTAGATTAACAATAAGATAATAACCAAAGTATAAATCGTAGTTTGGAGCATAGTGCCAAACATCTCACTCGAAAAACAACATATGAGAAAGTAGTACCTGATCTAAAGAGCTGTAATTGTTGTTTATTCTCGAATACTTTTTTTTGGACTCTGGCGGCGAACCACCATAGGCTGGTTGTAGAGGAAAATAGTTGCACCACGAATGAGCATACGATTGTGGATAGGCATGTTACTCTGTGAACCCGAACTCGACGGATAAGATTTAAGATATTTGAACAACTTTGTCACAACGAGCCATCTCAAGTTAATGATTCTCCTTGATCCGCTAATTATCTTGCACTTTACCTCAGACTGGCAGTCCTCATCTTCACCATCATTTTTCCTTTTGTTCATTGAAATGAACTGCCATCTGAAACAGATAAATTTCTGATCCATACGTTGACAGTACAATTCCATGATCTAGAACATACTTGATCAGAAAATGACAAGCGCGGTGAATGTTTCAAATTCATTTAAATGAATTACGTTGTCCTGGATGACTTAAGAAGCAAAACTAAATACTATCTCACCTAAAGGTTGTGTGTACTACAATGTTCTGAACAACAACTTTATGACCCCTCAACTGGATGGAAAAAATAGCAGGTCCTCTTCCATCTCAAGTATTCTATGAACTTAATCATCACTTGAAGGGCCTCAAAATCCGTCTGCTTAGTAAAATATTTAAAGACTCAAACCAGCAAAAACCTGTATGAAAAAAAATAGAGTATTGGCATTAATAACAAATGATTCAATAACCTAACCTCAAGATTCACCTTTCATCCCATCAACAGTTTCAGACAATCAAGTAAAATATGCTCAGCTTAAGGGTCTAAACAATGATGGCGCAAAAGGTCAAGGACTCAATCGATTGCGAACGAAGCACCTTTGCCTTCTCCTCCGTGAAGCAACTAAGGAATATTCTCGTGTGTTCTGCTTCGCCCTCAAATTGACCCGAATACCGCCGGCCGCGACTCTTGATTTTATTAATTGAGGGTTCTTTTCAAATGCTTGCCACCCATAAGCTTTTGAACCTGATAAATGACATGAATAACATAACAAGCATCCCGGTATCCAATCCTATGTTATCAGCACTTGCCAGCACCATATATACATAAGTACACACATGATAGCTCAGCCAAACAAAATCTAAGCATGAAATAATTCAATAATTTCAATTAGTTTGATTCGCATACGAAATTCAATATAAAGCAGACATCATCGAGAAATCCAAATGTAATAAATTTCCAACGCCCAACACTTAATTCAAAGGGCAAATTCATATGCAAAGTACCCCAAAGGTACAATCCACAACATGAGAACATGATACATACACCAACTCAATCGACGACATACCCAGCAAAATCACATTACATTGCAACCCCAACCTTTTAGACAATTATAACTGAACCAAAATTAAATGGCGGGATAAAATCTAAAAGCTAACTTGAACCTTGGCCTTGACTTTATCGATGGTCTCACTTTTGTCGACCTCGACCATGATCGTTTTCCTGTGAGGGGTTTCACAAAAATCTGCATTTTTCCAGTGAGGGGTTTCACGAAAATCGACATTTTCTTTTGTACGTTTAACTGCTACATAGATTTTTCAAAATTACCGTCTGGGCGACTGGTCAGCCAACGCTGATGACCCGATATCCACTCTCAGATGTCAGATCTGCGTAAGTCAGCTGCTCGGATCTCGAGGAATTCCACCGCAGCTAGAGGGAGAGGAGGTGCCAGAACACGACTTTATGGCACCGTTAATGGCGAGAATATCGCCTCCTTCGCGGTGCACGAGAGGGAGGGGAGGACCCAGAAGAAGAAATATCTTCGAAGGTTCAGAGCTCATTGAGGACGACCTCAAATTTGACGGCCCCGTATTTTCCAGCCG